GCGCTGGGCCGGGGCCCGGGGTGCGCTGGGCCGCGGGCTGGGGCCAGGCCGGGGCCCGGCAGTGCTGGGCCGGGGGTGCTGGGCCGGGGGCCGGCGGTGCTGGGCCGGGGGTGCTCGGCTGGTGGCTGGCACCCCTGGGCCCGAGCCGAGCCAGGCTGGAGATGCCGGGGCCGGCCGCCGGAGGGAGCCGCTCCGTTGGGGGGGCCAGACTGGGCTGCGCCTCCTACCCCCACCCCCTCCAGCTTACCTGCTGCCTGCTTCAGGCTTCCCGCGAATCAAATGTTCGCGGGAAGCAGGGGAGGGGGCGGAGTTGGGGAGGGGACTTTGGGGAAGGGGTGGAGTTGGGGTGGGAGCGTGGGCGGGGCTGTGGGCGGGGCCGGGGCCCCGTGGAGTGTCCTCTTTTTGGACACTCAAAATATGGTAACCCTAATAATATTCTCACTAATATACTGACACTCAATTCCCACACACAACTTGTTTTACTTTTCAAAACTCTTACCTCTTTGTGACACTCTTTGAGCAGACTGATAACTCGGTTACATTCTTCACTGTGCAGGTGAGGAGACAAGTCTGGATGCATCTTGAGTTAAGGGTTTCTCGTGCAGTTCATGGACTACAATTTGAAAAATGTTCCACCTGCAAATATTAACATATGAAAGTACATCTTAAAGTCTAACACATTTCCATTTAGGAAGTCCTTGCAGTTCACTAATAGAAATAACTTAATTTTAATCAAAACCAGAACATAATGACATCCCAAATTGTTTATTTAGGTTATAATTTGATTTAACAAAGTACGTAGTTAAAAATGAAAATGTAGCATATGCCTGCCTCTGCCTTTCTGTTATTCATTTATGGACTGCCTACGTGATTAAAGTTAAGCACACACTTAAGAGCTTTGTGGGATCAAGGTCCTCTATGTGTTTCATGTATCAAAGGGGTAGCCGTGTTAGTCTGGATCTGTAAAAGCAGCAAAGAGTCCTGTGGCACCTTATAGACTAACAGACGTATAGGAGCATGAGCTTTCGTGGGTGAATACCCATTTCTTCACATGCATCCGAAGAAGTGGGTATTCACCCATGAAAGCTCATGCTCCTATACGTCTGTTAATCTATAAGGTGCCACAGGACTCTTTGCTGCTTTTATGTGTTTCATGGCATTTGGGAGTTGTTGAAGATGAAATAATCTTTCTCCTTGCTGCTGTCCGTTCCTCCTCCATTTTCTAGCTTCTTTAGTGGAAGGTAAAAACTAAAACTATGGTCTATTTTCACTACACGTCCACTACCCATGTGGGTATAGGGCAGTATACATGTCACCTGGTATTCTGGTATTTCTACAGTACTTTGAATCACTGGCTTTTTTATTTGTGCCTAGGTATCTGAGTTAAAATGCAAAATTTAATTAACTGATCTTGACTGACTGGAGACGGTGGTGGAGAAAAGGGCCAAATTTCGAGTAGCTAAGTTACACTGATATGCTTTGGAAGCATGTCCCTGTACTTCACTCAGAATTTTGGCTATGCAACACCCACTGCTTTAACAGGAATCACAAAATAAAGCCTTATGCAATATTTTTAAAATTTATCCCAAGGGGTTAACAAACCCACAAGCAGAAAAATTAAGGCTGAACAGTCATCCTTAATAACTATTGTATCTGGAAGTTTTGCAGTGCATATGGTATTTCAGATAGTATTGTCCTTCAGAAAGCAACATCGTCTTTGTCTTGATCCTGCAGAGAAGTCCATAATCCTGTTTCGATTACACTGGGTCCAGTCCTACATTGTGCTGAGCACCTTCAACTCCAATGAAATCACTGGATGTTAACCAAGTAAAAATACTATCCCTTTAGAGAGATTAGAGGAAGAGAGTGGTGGGATATATTGGGGTGCAGGAGGAAATCACTGCATAATACTAGAGAATGGCATACAGCGAGACTGGGGGGGCATAAATGGGAGAAGAAAAGACAAAGAAACTGAAGAAGAGGTAGAGAACACAATGTGAGGAAAGAGAAAAAGCCAGTTATGATGGTATCAATCCAGCACCTTTTAATCATTTCACAGATAGACTTTTATCTATTTTATTCAAAGATTTAAAAGTATCTGAAGAAAGATTAGTGAGCAAAACCACACACATCCAGAAGCGTGCTAGCATATCAAAATAGAAATGAGCTCTACCCTTTGGTGGACACAGACACATTCTGATTTTGTTTAGCAACTACAGTACTACAAAAATGTACTTGGTGATTAAGAAAAAAAATCACGTCCCAAAAATAAAATACTGTGTATACAATTTAAAATTTCTTGTTAATTATAAAATAGTTAAAGAAATCTTATTAAGGCTACACTTTAGGTTTTGTTTAAAGTGCTGCAACAAAATCTAATATTAATACAAATGCTCAGTGATTAATTTTAATTTAATGAACAGTTTTGGGAAGGGGATTTAGATATTACCCCAAATTGTTTGCAATCCAAATGAACAGTGTCATGCTAACAAAAATAACAGTAACAATCAGCTTTTTTGTTTAGAGTTAGAGTGCAAACTAAATAGCAAAATGATTAACACAAGTTATATTTGTAAGCTTTTCAGCTCTAACCATTCCCGTTAACATAGCTATCACCTCTCACAGAGGTGGATTAACTATGCCAACGGGAGAAGTTCTCCTGTCAGCATAGCAGTGTCTTCTCTAAAGCGCTACAGTAGCACATAGTTTTAAGTGTAGACCTGTCCTAATAAAAGGGTTGCTCTAAAATATTTATCGTATCTTATTAGCTAAAAGTGTCTTCTCTATTAGTTACTAAAATTACAAATATATTACATTTGACTACAAGTTATGTTTATAAGTTGGCACTTAGCAGCACTTTTTTTCTTCAAAGTGCTTTATATCAAAAAACCTCAATTTTTAGAGGCTAAAGTTTGCAGCAAGTAGTAAATATCAAGATCATATTTGCTACATAAATGTGCATAATAGGAAAAAAGATAAGACTTCTAGAGAGGTTACATGAAAGGATACTAGCTCCACTCCAAGACATGTAATCATCTGAGTTCATCTTTGACAAATCCCCAAAACAACAGGGAAACTAAAAATAGAAACACACAGTGAATTAGCAGGTAGCAAGTGTCATTAAAGTGGTAACTAAGGGCTTGTCAACACTACACAGCTTTTAAAGACAAGGCTGTGTCGACACAGCCTTGTCGCTAAAAGTCAGCATGTGTAAACGCTCTTTGTCAGCACTTTTGCCAACAAAATACTTCTAGCCCCGCGAGCAGTGTTAAGCTATGTCGGCAGGAGAGCGCTCCTGCCGACAAAGCTGCGTTCACACTGCCACTTGCGTCGGCAAAACTTTTGTCTTTCGTGGGGGGGGGAGGGCTTTTTTAAGTACCTGTGAAGGACAAAAGTTTTGTCAACAATTTTGCAGTGTAGACATACCCTAAGCCTCATTATCATCTACCATATTTGCACAACACACTTTGATTAAAGGTGATCTAAATAGTTGACATACTGAATTCAAATACATAATCCACTGACTGAAGCTCTCTATTTAAAAAAATATTTCATTGCTTATTAGAACGATCTGGCCTGTAGAATGCTACAAGGAAATACAAATTAGATCATCCCCATTCTAGAAAGAGGCTTTCATGTCACTTCCCATCTTAAGTAATAAATGTTGAGATAACTGCTGTTCCTACTGCACACTATTCAACAGCCAGAAATGTGGCAAAGCACATGAAGTTAAACTAAACTTATGTCTACACTACAAACGTCTGCTGGCATAGTTACATCAATTGGGGATGTGAAGAGGTTTTGATCCCTGACATAGCTGTGCTGGCAGAAGGCCCTAGTGTAGACACAGTTATACTGGCAAAACTATACTTGTACTAGTATAGCTTGTTTTGTTTGGGGATAACAATATAAGCTATACCAGTGAAAGTGCAGCTTTGCAAATACAATTGCGTCTGCACTAGGAGGGCTTTGCTGTATAGCATATCAGTATAGGTACACCACTGAACTGCTCCATGAAGAGACATGGCCTAACACTGAAGATAAATAATCTGTTATGAGAGGGGCCCTCTGTGACCCTAAGAACATCCCAATGCCACAGGGCAAGGGGCTTCCTGGTATGTAGCAATGTGTCTCAGCTGGCCTGCCCACCTTTGTGTGCACCCCACACACTGTTGTCATGATATTTATTTAGAAGGTGTCTTGTATCAAAAACTAGTAACTCACTAGTATCTAGAATATACTCAAACTAGTAACTCACTGATCATTAGTATTCTTGCATGGTGTATGTACAGTTGACATGTAAAAAGCTATACAGATGTGCTGGAAAATATGTCCCTCAAATGTATTTGGCAGACAGTGCCTAATCCCAGTGGGTCCTAGACAAAGCAATGTTGTTTTGTAGGCTTGACTACAATCTCCAATGTAAATGAAGATATGACCTCAGACAATGAAAAGCACATTCACATGCAAGGTAAAAAAAAGCCATCAGGCAAGCAAGTGGGGGAAGATGATCACTTAATTTCAATGGGGTTGGTGACTGCACTCACAAGAAGCCTTCCTGCCTCATGGAACAGGATCAGTAAACTCTGGGAAGATATAAGCAAAGGCAAAAGTCATTTTATTCTTCACCTTTCAGACAAAGTAACCAAGTGCTTTGGTCTCTGCATTGGATCCTGGCTAAAGACTGGTCAGCCATGCTGGAAGAATGACTATGGTGAGAAAACTACTTTGAATGAAAGACTCAGGGCCGGTGCAACCCATTAGGCGACCGGCACTACAATTTGGGGGCAGCGACCGCGGCGGTATTTTGGTGGTGGGACCTTCCGCCGCCTCTGTGGGGGGCAGCATTTTGGGGCAGGACCTTCCGCTGCCTAGGGCGGCAGAAAAGCTGGCAGCGCTCCTGGAAAGACTAGTTTATTAAATCAGATTTTAGTCTAGTTGTTTGTAACCATTTCTATCCTTACTCCTTCTACTTAGTACCACTTAAATCTATGTTCTATTGTTAATAAATTTGTTTTACTTTTACTGTACACCAACTCAGTGCTGTGTATTTCAAATGGAGGCTGTGTTAATCTCAGTTAAGCTAACAAGCTGCTGTGTACTGTCACTTTAAAAGAGCAGCAAACTTGAGGTGGTTTTGTGAGTGCTACCATGAGAGGGAGCTGAGCACAGCAGGAAAATGCTTTTGGGGACAATTCTGGGTTACAAGGGTTAGTGAGATCCCCCTGCAAAGGGTAATTGAGCAGTGGAAGCCAGAGTGAGACTTTCTTGCTTGTATGGTGGCTGTTGGTGACATGGCTGTGAGCCACAGCTGTATAGCATTTAAGGCACCCAGAGTTGCAAGACTGAACCCCTTACTGGCCTGGGTGAATCCCAAAGCATCACACCTTCCACATCAGGGTTAGATTTGCTGAGTAAGTGCCTGACCCTGCAATCAGTTCTTCAAAGAACTCCACATAGGAATAAACATATATACAAGAGTAACTGTTGACAACAGTTGGGACTGAAGGGAATATTGCAAGCTATCAGGGCTAGTCTACACTGGCAACGCTGAAGCGCTGCTGCGGCAGCGCTTTAACGTGGCTTCTGTAGTCGCAACAGAGTGCTTGGAGAGAGCTCTCCTAGCACTCTAAAAA